AGTCAATGCAGGCAATGCTGTTCTTGTTCAGGGCTGGAATGCAACCAGGATGTTTCAGGAGTCGGACAGGTTTTTCACCTCCCTGGGTCTCCTGCCAATGCCGCAAGAGTTCTGGGACAAATCCATGCTGGAGAAGCCGACTGACGGACGCCAGGTGGTGTGCCATGCCTCTGCGTGGGATTTCTTTAACCGAAAGGACTTCAGGTTGAACTCTTGTTGTTGTTACATTTGTCTTTTTCTCTAAAGACCTTACAGCAGCGAGTCCCAGCCAGGGACACTCACAGGTTGCTGGATCTGACAGAGTTTTTAGCCCAAAAACAATGTGGAAATTTGACCGACTCTCAGAAACAGTCCAGTTAGTAGCTGCCAAATGGACACATCTTTCTTTGTATTCTGCTCATTTTGAACAGACACAATTTTACAGTAGTTGTGTTTCCATTATACATTAGAATCACATGTGAATAAGCATGTTCATGAGTCATTAAAACTCATGGCACCGATGGGTGTGGGTCTGTTTTGTGGCTGCCGAGCTTCCTGTGGCTCTTTGCTGCTTTAGAGCTTTAAGGAATAATTTGAAGGCTCATTGTCTCCTAACAAAAAAGGCTGAACTGTAATCGTGTGTCTGCTTGTGTTACCAGGATAAAACAGTGCACCGTCGTGACTATGGATGACCTGATCACTGTGCACCATGAGATGGGCCATGTGCAGTACTTCCTGCAGTACAAAGACCAGCCCGTTACATTCCGCACCGGCGCCAACCCAGGCTTCCACGAAGCCATCGGAGACGTCCTGGCGCTGTCCGTCTCCACGCCCAAACACCTGCAGAGCATCGGGCTCCTGGACAAAGTGGAGAGTAACAAGGGTGAGCCGCAAGAAGCGCAAGGCATTTGTTTTTGTTTTTTTTTATTTTGGTTTGTTTCTAAGTAATAAATGTCTCACTCTTGTGCAGAGAGTGACATCAACTTTTTGATGAGCATGGCGCTGGACAAGATCGCCTTCCTGCCTTTTGGCTACCTGATGGACCAGTGGAGGTGGAAGGTCTTTGACGGACGCATCCCAACGTCGGATTACAATAAAGAGTGGTGGAACCTCAGGTGAAGAACTTCAGCGGTTAAACATGCTTGTTATTGTGATCGCTCATCATAAAGTGGCTGATTACGCAGTAACAATCAAACCTGTAAATGTTTTTTGTTCATTGCAGACTGAAGTACCAGGGCCTGTGCCCTCCAGTAACCCGCACTGAGGACGACTTTGACCCAGGTGCAAAGTTCCACATCCCTGCGAGCGTGCCATACGTCCGGTAGTGTTGCATTACAAAGCAAATAAGACATGTTAGAGCTCAGCTTGATAACTGCTTAGAGACGCTGCAGCTATAAATAGATAAGAAAATAGGACTTGCTCATTGTACGCACGGCTTACAATGAGCCCACAAGCATCATCCTTAAAGTGCATATTGTCATGTTTTTCAGTTACTTCGTCAGCTTCGTCATCCAGTTTCAGTTCCACAAAGCTCTTTGTGATGCAGCTAAGCATGATGGGCCTCTGCACACGTGTGACATCTACCAATCTAAAGAAGCTGGGAAGCTGCTGGGGTTAGTGTGCTCTGAATCCTGCAGACTCTTTTATAGCATGTGTCAAACTCAAGGCCTGGGGACCTAATCTGGCCCACCATAAAAAACTATTGTGTGTTTTCCAGACAGTGTGTAGCTGAAAAACATAAAGTACTTTTTTTAAAAAGCCAGTTGTGTTCTTAAATATTGTCACCTTCCTAAAATAAGTGATTTATTTATTTTAATTTTTTTTGCCGAAATTATCTTTTGGCAAAAATTATTTTGGCAATTAAATTAGGACTGTGATAATATTATTTAATAAATCCGGTTAAAGCAGTTCTTATCCATATACAACCGAATTACATCAACGTGAAACGATGTTCAATGTTTTATTTTAAGAAGTGCTCATTCAATGGAGAGAGCGAATTGGCGCGAGGATTTTAGTAACACATTCTGACACAACCGGCCCTTTAAGAACATTCGTGATCTTCATGTGGCCCAAACTGAAAATGAGTTTGACGCCCTTTCTATAGGATCACCTTCAGTTGACAGCTGGAGAGAAGTTGTAGTGATATGAAGGAGTAATTTATGTTTCAGAGTGATCTCATTACTCTATTAAATATACAAAACTAGAGTGAATTCCAAAGCAGTACGAGAAGAGACCATCCTAACTTACCTCACCTTGTGTGACGAAGAACAAACCACAACATTTTCAACAACAAACCCTTTGTCTTCCTCCTCCTGACCTCTGCTTTGATCACATCCTCGCTTGCAGGGATGTGATGCGGCTCGGTTACAGTAAGCCGTGGCCGGAAGCCATGGCCATGATCACTGGTCAGTCCAAGATGAGCGCCCAGCCTCTCATGCAGTACTTCCAACCTCTCATCACATGGCTGGAGGAGGAGAACACGAAGAACAACGAGGTCCGTGGGTGGCCCGACTACAACTGGAGGCCGAGTACAACTGGAGGTACGATCCATGCTTTCAGGCATTCACACACCTTTTAAACAGCTGCAGTGTTCAGAGAGTGTTCCCCTGACTGAATAATGCCATCTTGTAGGCTGTAAAAATACATGGAGATTGAATTGATTTTGTTGCATCATAAAAGAACTCGGCGTATTTAGTGTGTTGTGCAGAACTACTAACAGTGGGTGGACAAAAGTTCTGATGTGTTTGCATGTTTGACCAAGATTGTGAAGTTATTGTTGTATTTAATTACGCTGCACTGGTTCACAGTTATCAAATAAATTTGTAATTCAGTATTTTTATGTCCTTTTTCTGTGAAAGGGTGAGTTCTGCTCTGTTCTTCTGAACCTTGGAAATCTATATAAAATATTATATTTTCATTCATTCTTACCTTTTAGATCCTGAAGATGGAACGAATGATGGGAAAGTGGAGTTCCTGGGACTGAAAGTGGACAAGAACGCTGCCAAAGTTGGTCAGTGGTTACTGCTGTCAATCAGCCTGGCTTTCCTGGTGGTCATCATCCAACTGGCCTACAGGTACAGGAAGTCCAAGAAGCGTAATAAGTCCTTATCCATGATGGAGCTAAAGCAAAAAGACTAGCAGTACTGTAAGTCTGAGCTGATTATATCGTAGCGACCACAAAACCAACCTCAATGTGAACAGCTGCAGAACGTCAGAGCACATTTTTTCCTGTATAGTTCATTATTCTTTTTTTTTTTTCCACACTGAAAGATGACTGAATGTCAGGAATTTCAAACTGCTTTCTCGGTTTATATAAATCAGAACTAATGTTAAATGTTTTTATACTATCTAAGAGGTATATCTTTATTTTTCAAAAAAAATTCAGGTGTTTCACTGATGGTTTTGAATGAAAGTATTTATTTCTGGGATGTTTTATGGTAATAAGGCGTAGAAGTTATTTAGCTTTGATCTTAAACACTCCTTTTACTTCAAAGTAGTTCTGTAAGAGCCTAAGTAAGTCGAATATTAACAATTGGATTCATGATAAATATGTTTTAATATTTCTAATGTGTACTGTACCAGAAGTGGACAAGTTTTGTCTTAAGTTCAAAATGTGACAATTTGTCCTTAAATGTTATGGATACACTCAGAATAATTTTATGTAGCAAATAATATGCAGAAATGTGTGTGTAGCACATATATATATATATATATATATATATATATATATATATATATATATATATATATATATATATATATATATATATATATATATATATATTGTGCACATTTAAAAGTTGTGCGTCGACAAAGGGGGAAAATAGTTGATTGAATATGTGGATATATTTTGACTTTATTTTTCTGAAAAAAAAATTTAAGTGTATTTGAACTTTTGTAAAATATAGCTTTAGGTAATTTTCTTAAATCGATTATTTTAAAAAGATGGAACCTGCCTCGAATAAAGAATAAAAACATCTGACCATGGAATTTGTTTTATTTCACACTGTAAAAAAAAAAAAGATGTTCTGGTTGATCATTTGTGTATTTACTCTAGACCCTTGTATTCAATTTATTATTGTCTGGCAATGCAAAAACACATCAGTTGTAATTTATTTGTAATATTTAAGTGTAAAAGAGGAAATGTTTTTAAAATATGTGTCTTTCGATGTGTGAACATGTTTTAATACCTGATTTTATCTCTGTAATAAAGACATTGAATTCTGCCTCGGCTGAGTAAATCAGAAATAACTTTTCAGTGTTTTCTGTTACCCGAACAGAACTGCGGAAAACTGAGGCTCCGCACCTCTGAGATATTTGTAGAACTTTTTCAGAATATTAACAAGTGCAGCTGTGGTATACTAAAGATTCCTATCAAGGAATCTTGAAATTCAATCAAAAGGTGCTTCATCAAATTATGCCGCCAGGAACTAACTTCCACCCTCAACTGCCACCAACAAGTGGTGCTTCCTGTAGCTTCTCTGGGCTCATCCTTGTGACCCCTTGACCTGTTCTCCCCAGTCTGGCCGCCTAACCCACCATATCACCAGACTCTCCGAGTCGCTTTCAGTCCAACCCTTCCCCTGGACCCATTTTGCCATGAGAGACAGGAGCCAAAGTTTCAGTCCACATGTCAAGATCACGGGGATAAACAAACATCGAGGTGACGATTCAACCGAGTCGATTCAACTGAGTCGGCTTCTCTAGGTCTGAGGTCTGGACTGGCCCTTCTGGGTTGGGAGTCAATCTGATTAAAATAAAAGTTACTTAGTCAAAAGTGTCTTCAAGTTAAGTACTGTCTGAAATGATGACTTTTGGAAAAATTAAAGCATTCAAAAGTACTAAATATATTTTCTGACATCAGAACGATGCTGTGTTGCTCTGAGTGCTTTTACAGAACATTAGCACTTGCTAAAATCACTTTGTTGCAAAAAAGTCTTCACCACTTGTGAAAACTTCAATATGGAATCGCAATAATCTATCACAGCTATTTAAAAAAACTAAACAAAAATCACACAAAAAACAGAAGAGACATTCTTTATTTCCACAAACAGCAACACTGGCAGAAAAGCTAAGATACGGTCATCCTGAGCGCGCGGTTCTCCATCTCCTCCACTGTTTGAACGGAAGGCGGAGATGATCTCGCGATGCTTCAGGAAGTTGACGTAACTCCAAAGCCCAGCTGTGAGCGGCGACTGTGATTGGTTCCCCTTCCTTTGAGGGTGTGGCCAAAAGCAGGAACAGTGGACTGTAAAGCTCGGCTTAGCTTAGCATAACCAAAGAGCTTAGCATAGCGACGAGCCTCGAGAAATGTCAAAAGTACAACGTTTGTACAGACAGCTTGGACAAGCTTTAACAATGTATTTATCAAATGAATTGTACAATATATGGTCACATTTATATGGAGGCATTTAACTGCCAGAACTAGGCAGGAGCAGAAACTTTCACATATTAACCAAACATACAACCTATTATAGTGAGGAAGTTTCTCATTTTTGTATATAAAATATGCTCCTCTGACAGTTTGTGACGTCTTAAAAAGCATATAGGTTTCCCTCTGAATCCTTCTTCTCACCCTGTTGATACTTCAAGAGGTATTTACTGTGAATACCTTTCTGTTTTAGACTAGAAGGGATTTACATCAAAATCAACATAAGATTTACATCTCGTTAAAACAAGAAAGATTTCTTGTCTTGAACCTCAAGATGCTGCTCCACAGTTTATTCCCATTACTGAGTGTTAGAAACTAATGGTGAAAAATTAATTCAGAAATGATTTATTGTCTTAACTGTTCCACGGGACATTTTATCACATAAAGACCATTTCTGCAGTCGAAATTTATGGTTCCAGTGTTGGTCGACAGTTTCATATGGAAAAACGAGAGTAAAGGCCAAATGCATGCTTTCATTCAGTCAGTTTAACTCACTATTATGTACAATTTCATCTACACCCTCACAATCAAATAGCATTTCCAGTGTTCAGACTCCCTGTTTGAGATACTTAAGATATCAACATAGCATCTGTTTATTGTGTTAGCTCAGCGTGGTGCAATAAATTAAAAATCAAGTGTCGTCTGCCCATTTGGTGAACCCTGATGTGGGAATTATGAGGGACAATTAAATTGTGAGTGACATAATCAATATAAAGCCAGAAATATAACAAAAATAATCCTGCATCTGAGGATTATAAGACTTTGTGATGCTTTCCCATCATTGACATTCAAGCAAAGACAGTCAACAACTCATAACGGAGTGGATGTTGTCAAAATATAAAATCTAGGCCTCCAAGACCTGTTTGGAGGTTATTTTGAAAGCAAACAATAACGATGCACAAAAGTACGGAGCCTCCTAAGGGACATAAGGAAAGTTTTTTCTCATGTATTACCTTGTAAAAGTATTGCATTGTATTGCAGATTGTGTGTTCCCACACAATAACTTTGCAAATACACCCAATTTAAACTTGTATATAAGTACACTCGCCAATATTTTGGTCAAAATATTTGCACATTTTTCTTTCCATCATGACGGAAAGTTTCTGTCATGTTTATATTTTAGAGTAAGGATGGAAACCTGATGCATTAATCAGAAAAAAAGAAGAAAATATGTAAGATTTTAGAGAATTACTTTCAGTATTCAGGATCTGTCTTCTAAATACACTTAAAAACGTATTGTGTGTGAATGCAACACCTCTGCAAGGTAACGCAAAATATTTCCCCCCCATGTCTTTTAGGGGAGAGATGTTCAGAGACTGAGCAAAAAAAGAGAAAAAAAAAACATGTTTAAAAAAGTTACATGCAGATTTGACGCATTAATACCTAAAAATACAACAAAAGTTTCCCTCTGGATGCAACATGGGTTTCAGTGTACAACACTGCATTCAACAAAAAATACTTAACAAATTACAATCTCTCCAAATGTTCTGCATATTGCACAGAAAAAGTTCAGGAAATGGAATACTAATTGAGAAAAAACACAACAACAGCAACAACAAAAAAAACAAAAAAACAGGAAATGCACTGTCCACAGTAGGTCCATGCACTGAAGTCCTTGCAGCCCAGTCAGGTCCAGTCAGGCCCAGTCAGGCCCAATGAGGCCCAGTCAGGCCCAGTGTTGTCTGTGGCAGTAAGGGGTTCAAAGGCATCAGTAGTAGCAGTGCTGCGTCTCTGTCCAGCTGGTCATCCAGTACTTTTTCTGTGGCTCCTCTGGCTGAAATCCCAGATGGAACTGATAGCGTTCAGCTCTGCGAATTCTCACACCACGGTGCTTTGGCATTACCCGGTAGTAGATGGCTCGCTTGAAGAACCCACGCTAGCAAGACGGAGGAAAAGCAGCAGAAATATTAAAACGCTTAGAAAAGGCTGTAAAGATGAGCAGAAACGGCAGGAGAGATGGGATTAACGACAGAGGAGATTACGGATTAAAGGAAACAGGTTGTTAGCAGTGACGGCCTGCTGGGGAAGAAAGACAGAAAAGTGAAGAACAGGACCCACGGAGTCAAGAGGGAAGTCTATTTAATCTGCCTGAAAGAAAGTTGGAAGATTTAGAAGTTAGAATAATCAGAAGCTGAGGGGACAGAGAGCTCAGTGGGGAAAGGAGCCTCAGATGAGATTATTAGAGCTACAGTGCCTGGCAAACGTATTCAAACTCAAGAATCTTTTTACATTTTGTCACCTTAAAACCACAAACAACAACCTGTCTAGTTCAGATTTGTTATGACCAACACACAGGGGCATATAATTGAGAAGTGAAAGGGAAATAATTCATGATGTTAAAGAATTATTATCCTCTATTTTTATAAATTACAAATCCAAAAAATATCAATTTGAGAATCTGTTGGAAGAATTGAAAATTGATCATATTTTTCCTTTCACCTCACAATTGTACTCGACTTTTTGTTTGTTTATTAATTCTAAAATTCCAAAACATTAAAGTTTGTGGCTGGTGTTTACCAAAATGTTGAAAAAAAATAAACCCCAAGAGGTTTTATTCTTTCTGCCCGGCACTGTAACAAAGAAAGATCAGTTCTGAGGGGTGTCTTTACCAAAAGGCCCCATTGGTGAGTGCTGTCGGAAAAACACCTGGAGGCCTTAGTAGTCCTCAATCATCTTTTCTGTCTCTGAGGGCTGGATCTTCATCTCAGCCTTCTGGGCTTTGGCCTCATACATCTCCCTCCTGCTAGCCCTCTGGAAGAACCCACACTGTTTGGGGGGTCAGACGGGAGCAGCGGTTACAGGAGGAAGGTCAGAACAATAATCAGTCAAACGAATCTGTCACGTTTGGTAGTCCATTTGGCCAGAGCTCATTTCTAGTGAACTATTCGCTTCTCAATGAAATTCCAGAGAACGTAAGAACGTCTGAGTCTAAAACATCATTTTCTACTGGCTTAAAAGTATGGCTGCTAAATAATCATTGATCATGTGATTCTTTAGACTAATTAGACTTCAGACTTACTTTGTTATCACTGCACAAAGACACGACAGTGAACGTGTCGATGAAATGTTGCTGCTTGGCTACCGGATAATACAGAAAACAAAACAAAAAAAAATACAGAAAAACTAGACATGTGTCTATAAATAGGTATAAATATATAAAGGCTTTACTGGTACAAGTAAGAGAAAGAAAAAAATAATCTGGTATATTATGTGATGTGCTTCGTCCCTTTTGAAATAAATAGGCGACAATAATAGTGTCAGGCATCAAAACGTAACATGGAACTTTGTACAGCGTCGTTTAAAAACCCAGAGCAGTCTCACCTTCCACAGGATAAGGATGATGATTCCTAGAAGCAAAAGTCCTGCTACTGCTGCAGAGATGATGATCCACAGCGGGAGCTCGTAGGGTATCTCCACGCTTTCCTCCGGCTCTATATCCACTCTAAACTACAAGAATTGATACAAACAACCAAAGTTAATCTGTGCTAAAACGTCTGTAATCAATAGTGCCATTGTCGTCGTCATCAACACGTACAAGCAGATTGTAAGCGTCCATCTTGATGGTCGGTTTATCCGTGATGAGCTTCAGTGTGGCATTAACTTTGACACGAACATTCAGAGCGTTGGGATAGTCCTGCAATTGCAAAACAAAACAAACAAAAAAAATAAAACAACAATCTCTAAACATGAAAGGTGCAGCATGTGGAAAGATTTGGGCAAATCTGGCCGGGTGAGCGGACCTCCAACATGGTGCCGTTCCACAAGCGAGAGCGGACCCGAATCTCTGCCGTCCTGGACATGTTGAGCAGAGGACAGGTGAACTTCACGCATCTCGCCGTCCCCACAGTGCAGTCCTTCAGGACAGTACATCTCAGTTAATTAGTCATTCATAACATTTATTTTTCAGTACAAAAACTGAAGATATGTTCATGTTTTCTAATACAAAGTAAAGTTTTTTACTTTATGCTAATGAGAAATATGTGAATAATTCAGATTGTGTATCACAGAAAAACACTGCTTTGATTTGATTGATAAAATAATATTTAGGGACAATTGCTAAATTGAAGGTTCTGTTTTTGTAGCCCTCTAGAGTCTGGAGAGCCACATAAATAGCTGCGGTGGGCCAGATTTGGCCCCCGAACCTTGAGTTTGACACATGCCATAGAAGTTGGTCTGTTGAGATGACGAGCCTTGGGGCTTTCAGCAAGTCAGATTCAAGCAGTGTTGAGGGCAGCATTGTCAACATATCATTATCTGCATCAGATTCTGCTGAGTCAGGTACTTTGCAGATGAGATGGACTCTGGAATGTCACGCGTGACTCTGTGCGTGAGAGGGAAGTGTTAAGTCCTCCTACAACTTTCTGTCGCTTTCTTCTTCATGGTTTGCGCCGGCGGCGTCTTTCGGTTGTGGATCATGTGACTCATGTGCAGAAAAAGTGCTTCCATTGCAACTTTGATACAATTCAGTGGCTGATACATGATGAGCGCTAGCGCCACGTAGCAGTTCACACCCATCACTGATATGATTTTTAATGACTCATCACATGAACAAACTTGTTCTCACGTGTGATTTTGTTCACTCTTGATGAGAAGAATGAACAACTGAATGTTCATTTGCATACTTTGAGTATCACCATCTGTTCTGTTAAAGTCTGGATAAGATGAATTTTTATTGCCTATATAATTTCAAGACACCCATTCTGAAAGGCCAAACTACCCACATGGCAATAAAATGCTACTCTGCCTCTAATAAATTAGTTGCGTTTATTTAAGTTTTTTAATATGTTCTCTGTTTTTAAGAAGTGTATCTGTTGAATAGATGAGGGTACATGAAGAGATGATGCTGCACAGCTTACCAAAACGTAGGTTTTCCGAGGGGAGAGCGGGGTGATTGCCGCCTGCGACTCAATGGTTTGGAGAGAAACTTTCTCTTCAGTGTCATTCTCGTCAGTCTGCCGTTTGGACCTGGCCTGCCTGGGTTGGCTCTCCGACAACTGGAAGCCGTTTCAGGGGAGAAGGGTGGATGAAAGAAAAGAGGAGACATTACATCAGAGGCCTGCTGGTAATTACTGGTGCTGATAAAATCATGGCCAGTCATGACAATTCATCTCAGAATAGCAGCGTCATTTCCACTGACTATATGTAGGCTGCAGACACTGTGAGCTTCTATTTGGGGATTTCTGAGGTCAGTTTGTGGTGACACAGTTTGTGTTTTTTTTCCCCCCTAAGAGTATTTCTGAACAGAGGTTTGGCTCTGAGACCATTTTAACGCCAGACTCCTTCAGTTCACCGCAGTTCTAAAAACATTGTTATGTATAAGTGGGCAAGGTGCATCAGAGACATTTAGGCTATATTTACCTGGAGTTCTTAAGCTAGCTCAACTTAACTTCATCTTATGTACTTTTTAGCTACGTATAAATGGTTAAAGGACTGAACTTATATCGTTTGCTTTGAGTTGCCAAGAATGATATTTTTCTTTGTACTAACAATATATTTTTGGTTACTTTTCTTAGCTTAGATCAGTCAAAACTCAACAGATTCATGAAATCACTAAGCATTTAAACCAAAGCCATAACAGAACCTTACAGTTAGGTTCAGGGGATTGATCACTCCGGCAGGGATGCAATCCATTTCTGATTCTCCTTTAACAACAATCTTTGTCAGGTACAGCAGCCATTTGCCATTGGCCACTTCAAGAGGCCAATCAAACTCTACTGCAAGGGTCCCCATGTCTCCCAGAGGCTCGTCATGCATGTCCACCTGGTGGCAAAAGTTTCCAGGATTACAAAACCAATATTCAAGACATCAAGCAGATGCAGTTCGACTAAAAAAAGAAGAGTTAAACGCTGAAGCATCCACCCCTGGACATGCTTACACCACAAGACAAGGCTCAATTAAAATTCTCTTTCCCACACAATATAATTTTTTATTTTTTTTTACTTCAAAGACAGGGTGTGGATGAGGAAACTGTGGGTGAGAAGCATGCATGTTATAGATTAAATATACAGTTGAGGAAGTGACTCACTTTCAAGGTGAACTCCACCAGACTGCCGACGTCACTGGTGTTGCGCATAGCATACTCTCCCTTCACTGTGCCTCCAAATCTAGTCTCTACAAAGTTCTTCCTGAACAAGTCAAAGAAGAATTTTACACAGGGTGTTCAGCTCCGTACTGTACAGTACCTTTAACATTTTGACACGACAACCAGAAACTAAAATATATTTTATTGGAATTTTATGAACACTATGGGGGAAATGCAGTGGTGGGTTATCTGCTAATCCACTGATAGCCTAGCTAGTTTTTTGTTCATAACTTTAGCGTTTTTACCAACTCTGAAAAGTTTTAGCACACTTCGCTTCCCCGCCATTAACTTTTCTGAATAAATTCTAAACCTCTAATATACTTGACTGTTTTGTAAACTTTCACGTGACTAAAGTTGGACATCTCAGTTGAAGTTTTAGTTATTGACAAAGGAAACAGTTAAACTGATATACGGCGTTCCTCCTAATCGAAGTCCTTCTATGGTGAACTAGGCAAAATTTGCGACAGAGTAACAATATTCAGTAACTATAAAACTGGGGGGAAAAAGTTCTGTAACAATGAAAAGCATTCTGAAGTGAAATTGCACAAGTGGGTGTGCAATCACAAGTTTGACCCTGTTAATGGTCAAATTTGACCCCAGGTTGGGTATCAACCTGGTTGAATTTAGCACTTAATATTATCTTCTGCTAACTAACATGTTGGTATAGTGCTTTAGCTCCAGTAATGTTTATTATTAGTGCTTTACAGTTAGCAGAACTGGCCTTTTACTTAGCTCTGCTGACTAAGAAGCTAACTAAAAAGTTAGCGCAGCCAACCTGATTTTTACTAATCGGGTGACCTTGGATGCGTTTCACTGAATAAAATTTACACCAAATTATTATTTACAAAAGACCTTTGAAAGCCGCTGGTCATGTTTCACCACTGAACAATGAACTACAACCTTTTTCTTGGTTTGTATTTATGAAACCCCAACAAATTACCTTAAAGTTTGTGGTTGTGATGTGATAAAACGCTGAAAGGTTAACAGCATATTTATAGCTTTGCAAGGCACTATTTATGCACGTCACTAGCTGTTAGGAGGCCACACTCACAGGAAAAAGGAGGGTTTGATGACGCTTTCGATCTGCAGGGCTGCGGTGGCCGGCCTCAGGTCACTCTGCTCACTGAGACTGAACAGATCAACGGTGTTACGACACAAAGGAACCAGAAGCAGCTACTGAAGACCATGAGGGTCTTACAGATCCCTGTTAGCCTTCAGCGAACACCAGAGCATTTAGGCGCTGCTGCATTGAGACCTTACGTTGATAACATCAGCTGAATCTCTATGGCCGTCGTGTACAGATCGATGCCCGAAGTCTCGAATAGAAGCTGCAGCGACACCTGAAATAACAGGAAATATTTATTAGATGTGCCGCAGAAAGGGCTTAACTCCTGAAAAGATTTCTTTTTTTTTTGTGTCACTGAAATGCAGACACCACATTAATCCACAGGGTTAATGTTGGACGACAGCAACTCAATTAGATCAAAAATCTAACTTTGACTTAGTTTGTTTTTGTTATTTTATGCCTTTCAGATGGGATGATTGATTGTGTGCTTACACAAGCTTGAGGGTAAAGTGGCAATATTATAGAAAATCAACATTTTGTATCAAGCTATGTTATCCCCTCATCCTCATACCAACTGCACTGCAAAACACATAGGAGTCCTCGACTGAGGTAAGTGAGGCCTGCAGAAAGGTTATTAGAGCTAACTAAAACAAACAAAATAACAAAAACTGAAATTGGAAAGACATTTTTGTTAACTAAGAATAATAAAAATGGTAATTAATGGGGAACTGTTACAATGATTGTATGTTTATAGATCTAGGACATACTGAAATTGTTCTCTGTTTTTGCGTTGACAAATCTATTTATTGGCCTTTGAAATCGTTGTGAAATAGATTCCCCCCAGTTTACATCAGCTGTTATCAAATTACGGTACTCTTCTAAACTCCTCCTGCTGGCTACGCTACACCACTTCGCCAAAGTTGGGCTGGAACTGCAGAGTCAGTTGTGGTACAACAACAATCAAATACATTTTTGGAAAATGACATATTTTCATTACCCAATCGGTGTATAGATAACCACAATACAATACTTTGATCTGCTTGAAAAAACTAAAACTAACACTATAACTTATAAACTAACTAAACTAACTTTTAGCTAACAGTAACCAATAAAAACGACCAAAACCGATCTAAAAACTAACTGAATGAGACAAACAAAAAGTCACAACAAAAATAAAACCACACTATAATGGAGCCTTTAGCCGATGTCAGGAAGGTTTTATTTAGGTAATCTCTTTTGTTACTGGCCAGTGAAACTGAACAAAAATTAAGGACAGAAGACAAGTACTTCTTCCTGTTGGTCCAGGGATGATATGGACTTTGCTTCAATTAATGATTTCCTTTTGCTTGTTTAACTGTATGAAATGTTTAAATGTGACAAAAAATGAAAATAAGATACTTTCAGACTAACTTTGCTTACGAGAGAGTTAGTCTGAAAAAAAAAGATAAAAATGTACCTTTTCTTTGGCCTTTAGTGGATTCCCCAGCTCACACATGACTGTCGCATCAAAGCGGCATTCTACGTCAGGGTTCTGCACAGACCAAGGTCGAAAACAAAATAAGAACGTATGACTCAGAGACTTTAGGTGACTCTATTTGTTCTTGTTTCATTTATTATTAACATTTTTTTTTTACATCCCTGTAATTTAAAAGGACAATAAAACATTTTTAAACCGCAATCATGGATCCCTCAAGCAAGCCTCCCAGAGCTTTCCTGCCCCCTGGTGGACTTACGTCAGATCTGACGCCGGAGTACTGTATTACGTTGGGCAAGGAGACGTTGAGCATGGCCAGGTGGGCGTCCTCCGCCTTCTTTCCAGGCGAGTCAAAGTTGGTAACCACCACCAGCAGCTTTATTCTTTTCAAACTCTTGTCGAACTGGAGCACCTGAACGTTCTTCTTCCTGAACACGAGCAACACGAGAACATCAGACTTAAAGAGACGATGAGTTCTGATCTGATTTTTGGTTCAGAGTGTTTTGACTACCTGGGGATCAGGGTTCTGTTATTGTAAGCAAACTCTGCAGACAGCTGCAGGTTACTGCTGCATTTATTGTCTGAGCCGCACGTCTTCTGAAAGTTTATCTGCAGGGCAGCAGAGCATTTTAGTCACACCACACAGCTACTGTAAAAGGTTGGGGATAAAAGGTCACGTTAACTGAGTGATGTTGTTCTGTACCTCAGTTCTCTGGGTGAGTTTCTGCTTTGGACTTTTAGTGGGGTAGAGATCCTCGATGCTTCTGGCTTCGCCATCCTGCTCCGGTAACGTTATGTTGAGGGAAAAGATCACCGGTTCCAGCTTGTCCTTCACACGGTCCTGTCAATTAATTCATGTGTTATTCATTCTTACAGCTGTAACTTTTATTTAAAAAAAAAAAAAAGATTTTTCTCTACATTTGTATATATTGTATATATTTGTAAGCATATTGTGACAGTTTGTGAAACAGATGTCACTGAGTGACAGAAAAATTGTTTTGTTAAGTCGTCTATGTTTTTCTATTTTTCACCGCTGAATCCAAAAATAACATCCATTTTTCTCAACCAGGTCAAGTTTTTATTCTAATTTGATTTAGAGAAATCTGGTATTCTGACTAAATTGATGACATCAGTTTATTTACGTTCATATTTCTCAGCCAAAAAACTTTTTCTGTTTTCTAACAGAGTGTATTAATTAAATACTACAAGCCTAGATTTCTGTAAATTGAATAATAAACACTGATAAGGATAAGTACGTGTGAATTGAGTATTATGTCTCTGTCTCTTTTATGTCCTGGTGGAATCTGTCCTCCTCTCATCACTCATTGATCAGATTCTCCACATGTGAGAACAAGTCTTGAATGTTGATGCTCATGTTTCTCCATAGTTCAGAAACTGATTGACCTGATTGAGCAAAAGCAACTTGATTTTTGGATTCAGCTCATCAATATGATCCGAAAACCTTTGAAAAACCCCTGATAATTTTTTGTCTGTTGACCAGTGCAAATCTGTGAAAAGATGGATCTCCTGCACATCCTCACTGAGCAACTATTGCCATCTGGAGGGTCTTAGCATTGTCAGTCAACCTGATGTACTCGCTGCTAAATGTTCGAGTGGTGGAGAAAACTTCTAGTTACAGGAAAACTATTTATCCACTGTCATCTGTGACCATGCTAACTAGACTTAGCATTCACTACAGGCTATGCTTGCTGCAGCATAGCAGGGAGCAAAGGGGTAAAAGGGATGACAGGGGATGAGAAGTGCCACAAGGAAGTGTGGCACTTTGAAATGTCATTTCAAATTACATTTCAAATATGTAATTTGAAATGATTGAACCTAAAAACTATACATTTAAAATCGACTCTCCTGAGTCAGTATTTGTAGAAATCCCTTTTCTGATGTTATCCTGCTCCTGGAGGACGAAGACCTTTTTTCCACACCCTTCATATCCAGGTTTTCTAAAGAAAAGCATCCACAAAGCATGATGCTGTCAACGTCATGTTTCGACATGGGTGTTATGTATTGGAAGAGATGGCTGAAAAATGCATCTCAATATAAGCATTTCATGACAGTCGATATCAGTAATTATTGATTAGTTGTTTGTTTTAATTATTTTATTAGCAGTAATCTATCTTATAAAATCCCAATAAAGCACAAAAAGGTTTATGTCTGTAACTGGGGATGCACGATGTAACATCGGTATCCACCGATGTTAGTCCCAACATAATGGATTGGACTGATGGACAAAACTGGGTTGAAATCAACAGTCAATATTTATTTCCATTTAATTGGCATTTATTTTTAGAGGGGTAGTTTGGTCATGTGGTATGTGAACGTGATGCAGCAAAGGACCATGGGTAGCTTAACTGAGACAGAGAAGCATTGATGAAGTAAGCGTTGTGGTCGTTTTCTTCAAGCGAAATTAATATCAGATATTGATATCGACTCACGTTTTCACATTGGTGTGTCAACATCATCAAAATGTGCAAAAAACCAAAAAAAATCCAGTTTGCAAAGCCCTGTAAATAACTGACAACAAGTCCAAGTAATCTATGTATGTAAAACACATGCAATCACCGTGGGATCCTTACCTCAACACTTAGTTTCAGGACCTGACAGACGGGACTAGAAGACGGCTGGGTCAGAGTTATGATGAATTTATTGACACCGTTTTGGAATTGGACTCGAGGTTTTTTACTGTACAGCGTGTCGGCTTCAACTTCGCAAGGAATCTCTTTTGAGAGACAGACATAAAAATAAAAAAAATAAAAATGAATAAGCTGTTTTGAAGATGCCTTTTTTTTTAAAGCTTTTTATGTCAAGTTGCAGATTTTGTGTGAGAACGTCTTACTGATATTTTTCTTAAAGTCTTTGTTTCCGTTGCTCAGCGTGAACGACAGGCACGCAGTCACCGAGATGCTGTAAAAGTATAAGAGAAGCCATACAATATGTAAAAATCATACAGTGAAGGTTTGTTTCGGTTTGACGTGTTTCAGGAGAGGCGTTACCATGGATTAGCTGCAGGACAGTTCTGAGGATCCACTATCTTGGGCTCAGCAGAGAAGTCAGTGGTCAGGTGAATGACAGGCCGAGCTCTGAAAGGAAACACAAAGGCAGCCATGTTTTTCTCACTGACCTTTCCTGTTTTAGGTCAGTCACAAAAAAGTTTCAATTTGCCAAAAGCCAGAATAGTGAAAGTGAGACTTTCTTTTTATTCTTCTCAGGATTTGGCAGAATGCGCTTAGGAATCGACATATTTCGATCCAAGCTAAATAGTTGACAAGCTAGCAACTAGCAATTCAATGCGAACTTGCCAAGTGTAAGCTAACTTGGCCTTGCTAACTATTTAGCAAGTGTTGCAGATAGTTAGCAAGCTAAATATTTAATTAGCGAGTTAAATGTGTGGCTGGTAAACTAAATACTTAATTTATGAACCTATATATTTAGCTTACCAACTTAACTTAGCTCTAAATTAAATATTAAATTAACTAATTATTGGCGGCCAAACTAAATACATATGAAACTAGCAAGCTAAATGTTTGGCTTGCTAACTTAATACGGAGTTTGAAACTGTGACATTTATAAATGAATGAATAACATGGAGAAAATATGACTCTGAAAAACGAATCCCCATTTTTTCCGCTTCAGCCAGGCTAAACCAATTTTTGGCTTGTGTATTTTTGACAGTGTAACTTCACAAACGGCATCACATAGATATTTCTTTGTTGTTCTACCTTAGAAGAACTACGCGCTCATCGAGTGAGCCAACTAAGATGTCCGGGTAGCCATTGTTGTCCGTGTCCATGCCTGCATTTATGGAGTAACCAAAGGTTTGGAATTTGCCTTTGATCAGTGAATTTCCCTCAATTATCTGTAGAGGGCAACAGAGACACATGGTTTTAATCAAATGAATTAACTAAAAAGCTCCAAGCGAACTGCATAGAGTCACCAGGACTGATGTTACCTGACTGGGCTCCTGGGAGACTCCAGTTTTACTTCCCATCCAGATGTAGAGCCTTCCTGTTCCATGAAAAGGAGCTCCTACTGCAAAGTCTGCAGAAAGAAGGGAGAGATACCTGAAGAAGACAATACTAACAGCAAACAACTGAGAAATAAAAAGCAGGGATGTCTATAAAAAAAAAAATCATTCAGTTTTTCTACTGCAGCGAACCAAAAAAACCCCACAAATAATCCTTAAGCAAAGTTTTATAAGTGATCTTATCTTCCAAACGACAGGCTGAAGGTCACACCTTGAAATCCGTCTTGATTGACATCGCCGATGGCAGCCACTGCAGTGCCGAACCCGGAGAAGGCCTCACCGGTCAGCATCATGGTGTAGGTACTCTGGAAAGAGCCGTTCTCATTCATGAAAATGTACACAGCTCCTCCCTTCAATGCGCCGCGGTCAAAGTAAAACGGAGCTCCAACAATGAGGTCGTTCCAGCTGGGAAGGGAAAGAAACAAAACAACACGAAATATCAGAAAAAGGATTGAAACGTGTTCAAAACCTTTTTCAAACTACAAAGTTCAATGTATTTTTTCAGGGATGTTTTATGACAGAGCAAGACAAAGTAGAGCAGGATTGTGAAGGAGAAAGAACAGATAAGAATCAGAAATGTGTTGCATTTCAATGTTCTGTGTTTGCATTGAAACTCCAGTTTGCTCATCTCAAACCTGTCTGCTCCCATCTGTCACATCCGGTGTTCCTCAGGGCCCCGTCCAAGTCTTTATCATTTACTGTTTTCCTCTTGGTAGTATTTTTTTTCCCAGAAATTTTACATTTTGTTTCACTGCCACGTGGATGACACCCAGCTGTTTCTGTCCTGTCAGCCAAACTCCACACCCCCACCCTGCTCCCTAACCTCCTAGTTATCTGAAACAACATCCTGGTTCACCTCTGACTTTCTCAAACTGAATAGTGACAAAACTGAGATCGTTTCTGTAGGAACCAAATCTGTATTATCCAACTCTGACAGTTTCTCCCTTTCATTTGATGGTTCTGCACTCTGGTCCTCTCCTCAGGTTAAGAGTCTGGGTGTCATTCGCTTCTCATATCAACAATGTTACCAGTTTTTTTTTCTTTTAGAACAAATGAATCATCTTCTTAATATGAGACAAGTAATCTGTGAAAAGATTTTACAAAAACTGAGTTTTGCAGCATTGAGGGATTGGAGCTGATCACAGTGGATGAAAGTAAAAGTGAACAATTAGAATCCCCACAGACGGAGCACAGACATACTCATCATTGTTGAGGTCGGTGGCAGCCAGGCTGCTCCCGAAGTAGGATCCCACTTGTTCTCCCAGGATGGTCTGAATTATCTGGATTTTGTCCTGAGTCTGTTCTCCCAACATCACGGAGCCTTTGGACTCATCCCTGGGGGACCCTGTCACAACAGTGTGATGGTCACGACTCAGCAGTTTTCGCTCCTCGAGAACTGAATAACCTGGAAAAACAAAGCAGGTGTTTTCAATCACCGGCACAACGCTGTGCACGCCAATCATATATAAAAACAGTGAAACTGTGTTTCCATTAGTCCATTGACAATTTGACATTTCTGGAGTAAACCTGCTTAAGGGAAGAACAGCAATTTCTAAAAAAAAAAAAAATGTTTTGGCGTTAGGATGAGATGGCTTTTTCAGGCGTACCAAATAGGTTAATTTCACAAAAAGGGAATGGAAACAAATTATTTTTCCCAGACACACAAGTCACACGATCCACAACCGGATGTTATTACTGTCGCAAACCACCAGAAAGAAGACAACAGGAAGAGATTGGAGGATGATGGCATGGCATCAACAAACATTTTCACGTGTGATTTTAATTGCGTTTGTCATTTAACACAGAATAAGAACTCACCTATATAGATGTTGTTTTTATTCTCGTCAGCTATTGTTTTCTGAATAATGTTCCCAAAGTTGTCTGGATTTGGATCTCTCCAGGTTAGATGGACATTCCCTTTAAAGCAAAGGAAACAGACAATTACAAGACAGGAAAGTGGTTTGGTTTCAAGACTGAAGCTCGGCTGGCAGCTCCCAGCATCCCACCTTTCCAGTTATAGCTTCCCGGGGTGCCGAGGACGACGTCGGTCTCAGTTATGCCACCGGAGATGCCCAGGTTGCACACCCCGTCCTTCTTGTGGTCGTTTGCAGGGTTACAGCGCTCATAAGTATCAGCTTGCCAGTCATCGCTGTTGTCCAAGGTCAGATCGTTGCTCCTTACGTAGCATTTTCCGATCATCCGCCACTGGCCTATGCTGATCTTCACGTAACGATGGCCACACGCCTGCAAACAGGAAGCCACGGTTTTAAAGCTAGCGATGTCATAGAATTCCACTCTCTGAATTAAACATTTTTGCGTCACCAGCGACAGCAGAGGTTGGCCTGAGCTGTGGCAGTGTGACCTCACTGGTATCACTGGCATACTGCAGGCGCTGATTAGTGCAGTGAACAGGGAGTCATCTCACCAGCACGCGTCCCTCCTTCAGGCTCCGCTGGCTGGCCACCGTCACGCCCAGCCACATGCCCTCCACTACCTCCGACGGGTCAGCTGTGAATTTGTCACATGGGTTCAGAGTTAGTCTTATTTTGAATCGTGGGCAAAATGGTTCCAAGTACGAGACACAAAGACAGCCTGTTTGATTCTCTGACAGATTTCAAAGAAAAGTTTCAGAGGAGAATCTTTCTCTTGCAGGTATTCAGTCAGTGATTAATCCTCCCTCCACCTCTTCGTTCATAAAATCAAGTTTCATCATTTTTCCCCACCTAAATACATGTAATTACAGCATTTTTATATATTTTTGTAACTTGACTCTTTAGGTACTCGCTAAAAATTCCCCATCACTGCGATTATTGAAACTACAGTGGAACGCAATTAAAATTTTGAATCAAGTTCATTTGAAGAGTATGTAATTAATGAATCACATCTACTTTTTACAGTTAAAAAAAAGGTTTAAGCTCATAAAAAGAAACAACAGATATGCACAAACACTGAGATGAAACAATGTTCAGGTTTTTGGATGCCTACGTCCATCACTAAACAAAAATTTATTATCAAAACTGATGTAAAAGTTCAGCACAACCAGTTGATGGATCTGGAAATGCACATGAAATGGATCATTTTGACCACCAGGTGGCTCTGCGGAAAAAAAAAAAACATCTAAACAGTGCAGGTAATTCTGTCAGGCAGCTGTGCATCATCCTTACGTGATGTGATCAGAGAAATCCTGGTGCAGTCTGTGGGGTCTTCGCTGATTGGACAGGCGTACACGGCGCCCGTTTCGTTGACGTTTGGAAGAGAATCTGCTTTTTCTTTGGGCGCCCCGACGAGAAGCCTGGAGGGACACACAGACAGAGGGACAAGCAACACTTCAGACCGCGTTTGTGGAGAAAGATGATGGAAAAAGATCTGACAAATTATTCCCGAGGCAGCTTAAAGGAAGCAGAGTGACACCTGAGACGAGTTCCTTCACCATAAGCTCACAGAAAAGGTCATTTCAGTTTGCGCGACCTTTTAAATAAGAAACAAAACAAAAAAAGAGCGAAGCGGTCAGAGCAAGTCTAGGCTTCAAACGGGCACACACACACACACACACACACCACACACACACACACACACACACACAGACACGCGCGCACACACACGCACACACACACGCACACACACACACCACTGACAAATGGACACTCCCTACACCAGAACCTTTTAACAGAAGTGAACTTTGAAGTAGAGTAATTGCTCATCTGCCAGGGTTCACACACTGTTTATCGTAAGCACAAGATTTATTCACTGCACTTTTGTAGGTGAAAGGTGTGTGTAATCTTGTTTACACAGAGCTAGTGAGAAGGATGTGAGCTGAGAGCAGAAACGATGTGAAGTGGTGCAGCTTCGCCTCTGTTCATGTTTGTTCTCTTAACAAAATCAGAATCACTCATTGCTGGTTCTTCTAGTCTAAAGTATTGAGTTTTGTGATATTTTATAGATCACAGCAGCGTTTTAAAGCATCTGTGATGAATCTGGTTTCAGTCCAGGTCTGACTAGTTCTAGTCTTGAACCAATGTGGCGTTAAATGCACTTAAAATGACCGGTTTTGATTTTTAATAGAACAGAAGAAAAGTTTCATGGATCACAAAAGTCCCAACAGATCAAGAAATAACTTGTGCATATCTTGTGTCTTTAATGCTTTTCTCAAACTATTTTAAATAATTAGTGTTCAGTGTAGAATGGATCAATAAGTATTTTACACTTAAAACTGGAAATGATCAAATGTAAAATATATATATATCTTTTTTACCTTACCAATAACCTCCAATCAGATGCTAACTTTAGCGCTGGTACGGTTAGCCAGCTGTAGCATTCTTAGTCTCTTCTGTTGTTTTATTTGTTTATTTTTCTCAACCTGCTGGTGCCACTTTACCTTGTCCTTTGGAACACACCACTTTTACATCTTTTCATCCCCAAACTTCTCTAAACACAAACATGAAAAGTTAACATGCGTAGCAGTAGCCTAGCCTGCTAAAGAACCAGCCACTTGGCAGAAAACAATTCAAAACAGCGCAGAAAATGGACAACATCATCCACGACTTCTCCTGTTTGCTGATTGGCCCGGAAGAAATTCTACCACAGGAATCCATGTGAATGGGAGAAATCCCAGACTGAGCTGTGTGCAAGATTTGAATGGCCAGGCTAGCGGTAGCCTGCAAACAATGTGTGTTAAAATGTCAACTGATTTTTGAATGAACGCAACCTGAAACACAAACCAAAAGTATAAAAATTCCTAAGAAATCCAGAAGGATAAAGATTTGTTTTTAAAACCAGACCTAAATCTGAGCGTTTTGCCACATTTTAGCAACATAATAAAAGTTGTGGTTTGTTTGTGGTGGTGGATCCTCCCTGTGATGTCATGCAGCTGATCATGTGACTGGGCTTGCAAAATAACCCAAACTGGGATGTTTGGAGTGCAGCGACAAAATGCCCCCATATAAATCAGGAATCTTATCAAGAGCATCACAAGAGGCGAGAAAACTTCCCTTTGACTTATCAACCAGATATAAACCTCACATTAATTCAATCTTTGCTTGGATGCTCTGATAGCAGAACTGATCTGATAGCAGGACAGTTTAATATGTGTAGCAGGTGATTACACCTCGCTCGCTAGACAACACAGATCCAGGTCAAACGCTAACACTATTTTTTAGATTCTGAGCACCAATCTAAAGATTGTTGACATCAGAGAGAAAATCTTCTTCCTTTCTACAGTTGATTCGTCACAGTAACACCAACAACAGCCATAATTTTTCAGAGGTTTAAAGCATCGACAGACAGAAACGTTTCTTGAAGCAAACACATTGACGCAATCTTTTTACCTGCATTTTAATGCAAGCTGCGTTTAAGAAGGTAGACTTCTGGGAAACAGAAGTGTCCTTTCTGCCTTCTTGTGTGGCCGTTTCTTTCAGCAGGGAGCAGAACAAATGTATCAAAACACCACAATCCAAGGTCAGAGACTTTTGTGGGAAAGAGCGAGTGGAGGAACACTTTGAGGCCAGGCGGCTGACTTTGGTCTAACCAAACAGGAACCAATCACCCAGGCTTTAGGGACGCCGATAATCTCAGATGGAGGAAAGCAGGTTGCAGCAACTAATTATGTTAATCCCACAGAAAAGGTTTTTGTTTACACTGCACATGATGTATTTATTCGAACATTCATTGTTGTTTCCTTTCCTTTAGAACTTTGAAAATCACTTCAAAATTCTGATGAATTATTTCACTGTATTTGAGTTAAACAGACGCCCACCTGTGGATGGACTTAAGGCCTCATACACTCTACTTTCTTGTGAGACATTCTGTTTCTCAGACTCAGATGTGTGTTAGACGGGAGCCTGGGTTCGACTGGTGATTAAATTGCAACATTTGTTACATTTTTGCCTGGTGTGGTTCTCTTTCACGCTGCACTGAGTCCAACCAACCAAGCCGTTTGCAAAACCACTTCACTCCCTCGCCTCAGGGGGCGCTGCAGCACCTGGAAGGGACGACCTAAAAACCCCTGAAGAAGATACTGAGCTGAATTTAGGAAATGTAATCAAAAATGAAACAGAATAAAATTTTAGCAGCTGTATTTCTCTTTTGTCTTTTGTCTCCAGCCAGCGCCAAACTTGAGCGTTTGTTTGATTTACCCAGAATGCACTGCGCTGTCCTCCGTTTCCTGTTCTGTTTTAGAAAAATCCTGCTGATTTAAACTTCCACAAAAGCTTTTCAGGTTTATGATTCCACTCGTCTACATGAAGGCTTGACCTCACGTTTTGTCCTGCAGAAACCTTCCTCAGATGACTAACCGATGGCTGACTCGTCCATGACAGATCATCTCATTTCCTGTCCCACCTCAACAATGAGTTCTCTCCTTCTGCTCATCACCTCCTCATAAACAGGCTGTCAGTGGGGCGAGGGGCAACTGGCAGCTGCATTCCACCTCCTCCTCTGACATGTTGAAATTCGCCTCCGCTGGCTAACAAGTGATCCGAACGACTGGCTAAACCAAACATTTGCCACCATGGCGAACGCTGGCAGCTGAACTTGGAGCCGCATTCCTATCAGCAGCAGGGAGAAAAATCACACGACTTCTTAAGCTAAACAAGTGGAGGTCAGTTTATCTACATAACAAAGTCAGTTTGGTTAGATAATCCTAACCTTAGCGCAGATGAGCTGTTTCCTAAACGAGGAATACACATTTCCATTTCTGATTACCACAAAACATAAAAACTGAATATATGCCTTAAGGATAACTGCAGGGTTTTGGGTTGGCCATTTTTCTAAGGATCACAAATTCTCAACTTTTTTCTCTTTGTTCGATTTTGAGGCATTTTTCTTTTAAAGGGACATTGTTATGCAAAGTTGCCTTTTTTTTCTTATTTACACCATGTTAGAATGCTATTTAATCCAAAACAGACCTGGAGTGTTACCTGGATTCTTTCATGCATGTTTGAGAAATTATTTAATCTCCTTAGCAGCCATTCACCTGTGTAAAACACCTGGGTGGACATAGCCCCGCCTTTGAGGACAAAGCTTCTCCTACTGAGCTGCAGTTTCTGAACTTCCACCTCACAGAGCAGCCCTTCGCCACAACTCCCCCACTCAGCTCCTTCAGACTAGCCAGCAGCAATTAGCAAACACCTGATAAAACTGCCCATCAGCTGAGCTCATTATAGGAGCTTCTTCTCAGAGCATTGCTGGTAAAAACAATGTTAAAGAGTTAATAGAGGAGCCATGTTGTTATGACTTCCTGAAGGCTGAGTCTCAGAAATGATGGGAGCTTCTTAAAGAGACAGAGGCCCAATTTCAAAGTGTGAAATTACAAAGTAAAATTTATTTAAGTCACATTTAAATGAAGAGAAGTTAAATGAATGTTTCTTCATTTGAGGAAAAGTTCTTCTTTAATGAATAACTTTTCCAGTTCTTCATTTAACCCTTTTGTTATGCTCGGGTCAATTTGACCCGTTTCAATTTTTGAGTTGACCAAAGTGCAGGTTATTCTTATTTTTTTTTCATGAAATTTTGTGACTTTTCCTCATCTAGGGTCATGAACTTCTGAGTAAAATCTGGAGTCTTTGATGTGTTGAGAAGTGTCTGCACACAATTTGTGTAAAAAGATGATGTTGTGGGTCATTTTGACCCAGACATAAAGTAGCCGTTTAAATACAAAAAAAACATGCCTCTTTGATGTGATTGGTTTTGATTGCCTCAGAATAGTTATTGAGAACCAGGTGTGTGTGGAGGAGGGACTTTCTCTTCCCTCTCCTTGTCACTTTTTACATGTCCTTTCTTTGAGAGATACATCCAAAATGAGCTCCAGAAGAAGAAGCTTCATTGAAGATTTTGAATTGGGATAGCGATGTCGATGAAGAAATTTCAGAGACGGAAGATCCTTCAGAGCCAGAGGACAATGCTGTTGATGATCCAGATTGTCATTTTTCCCAAGATGAGGAAGATTCAGAGGACGATTCTTCATCAGATGAAAATCAAGAAACGCAACTATTCTCATTCACAAAGGGGACGTGGACATCTAAAGATGGTAAGATAAGATGGTCATCATCACCACACCAAAGCCAAGGCAGATTGTCATCTTCTAATGTCATCAAAATGACTCCTGGCAACAAGATTTTCCGTCACAAGAGTTATTGACATTGAATCAGCATTTCAGCTTTTCATATCCCACCCATAGAGAAGATAATTCTTGAGATGACCAACTTGGAGGGGAGACGTTTCTTTCAAGAAAAATGGAAACAACTGGATCCAACTGGTTTGTATGCCTACATCAAAATTCTGGTGTTAGCTGGAGTA